AAAAAAAAAAAAAGACAACTTTTCATCAATGGCCTCTTTTGGATATTTCCTGTTTCTCTGTGGGTTGAGTCAGGCTCTGTCAAGTTACCCAATCTGGTGGTAAGTTTTATTCTTCTTCTTCGTTGTTGTTGTGTGTGTGTGTGCGCGCGTGTTTTTTTTTTCCTCTCATTTTCATTTATTTTCCCCTCCTCTGCTTTACTCTGCAACCCCTTGCGCTCACCGTGACTTGAAATTCTCCTTTCGTTGCCACTCAGCTAAAGGAGGTGGGATTGTTCCAGCGCCAGCAAGTTCTTAGAACCTGCATTTCACCTCTTTTATTTATGCATTCGCTTTGTTTATTTTGACTGGGTTATACCTGAGCTCTCCTTCTCCCTCTGTAGCAGAGCGGGAGCGATCGGAAAGTTCTTCTGCGTGTGTTGGGGTTTTTTTCGGTTGTTTTTTTTTTTTTTTTTTTTTTTTTTTTAAAGCGCTTTGATCCTCTCCTGTGCAGAACAAAAGGCGCTGCCTGAATTAAAGAGATAATGATACAAGTTGACATGAGCATTTCAAGGTGATTTCGAGCCAGTCAGGTGGAAGGAAGGGGGGGGCAGAGGATGGAAAGATGTCTTTTCCCCCCTTGGATTTAAAGGATATGCAGGGAATGAATGGGAAGAAAGAGGTGAGAGGGGCACAGCGACCTGCGCGGAAGGCAGCGGAAAGTTGCGCGGTCCCAACTGGGGTTAAAAAAAAAAAAAAAAAAGGCATTTTCGGGCTCTTTTTCCTCACCCTACGCCTTTAAGAAACCTTTTTTATTATTATTCTCTCCCCTACCAAAAAAAAAAAAAAAAAAAAAAAAAAAAAGCAAATGGTGCTGGGCAAGGCATGTAACTGCACGATCTGCTCTAATTACCCCGCGGAGGTAATTGGGCTGAGGGAAGCCCTTAGAGAAGGGAGGGAGAGCGGAGAGGGGAAGGCGCAAAGAGAGTTCTGCGCTCCTCCGGCGGCTGCGCGGGTGCGGAGCGGTCCGACGGTGTTTGGAGGCTGTTGGGATGGGGTGGGAGATCGGGGTGAGCCCGCGGAGGGACAGAGCTCGGGGATGGAGCTGGGGAGGTGCTGCTGAGCACCGGCGGAATGTGTGTGTGTGTATGTATAGATACATTTATATCTATCTCGGCTGTTCTTTTGACGCGCCTCTAAAGGAGGGAGAGGGTTTCGGGTGCGCTGAGCGCGGTGCGTTGAAGGCAGAGTCCCTGCAACTATGTCAGGTATGTCTGAGAGCAGAGGGAAATCGTTGGGATGGGAGAGAGGCCATAAAATGCAAATGCGCTCTTGGGAAGACAGGCAGAAAGAGCAGCACCTGGACGGGAGTCATTAAAAAACGATCTTTTATTCCCAGCCACCGTCTAACTTATAATTAGAAACTCCGGTTGCATTCCTGATTGGAGAAGGAAGCGCATTCCTCCAATACCAACATAAATATTCCCCTGTCACCCGGCGAGGGGCAGAGCCCGCAGCTCGTGGGGTTCGGGGTGGGGCCGGGGGGGCACAAGGGACAGGAGTTGGTCCGAGCGCACATCGGCTGTGTGCGGGGGGACCGAAGCGGTGATGCTTTTTCCCCTTCCCTCTCTATATTTTTCTATTCCTCCCCCCCCCCCCCACCCCTCCTTCTCATCCTTTCACTCGGTGCCGTCCGGCGGTTTTAGACGTTTATCTTGCAAAGAGACCAAAATCCCCTCAGGCGATGGAAATGCGAAGGTTCGGGGTAGGGATGGGGGAGTCGGGCCGGGCGCTGTTCCTCTTGCTGCTGCCTTTTCCCTCCGTGTACATTCCTGTCCCAGTTTATTTATCATCAAAACGAGACATAAAACCCGCAGCCGCCCCTTGGCCGGACCTGGGGGTACTCGGGGGGTGGGTGTGAAGGGGCCGAGGGCTGCGTGGGGGCACTCGGGACAGCCCCGTTCAGATCATAGCGGTGGGAGTGCAGTCCTCTTCCTCCAAATCGTTGTGCTCTGCAAGGACAGCTCGCTTCCAGTCTACTCAGTTTAGAAAATCGACAGCCTATCTTTCTTTCATTTGAACTGAAAGCTGTTCTTTTTTCTTCCGCTTTCCCTTTTTAAATTATTATTATTACACATTTTCACTATTGTTTATTCGCTTTTGGTAGGGAGTACAAAGCCAGAAATGTTTCACTCGGGGAGTGCAAGCAACAAACACCTCTCCTCAAACATCACTTTTTAAAGCCTCCCCAGCATCTGCTCACAGCCACACGAATGCTCGGGGCAGAATATCCCTCATTCTCCATCCCCAAATTGTCCCCCCTATGAATGAGAGTTCCTAATTAAAACATAACCTCACCCCAACGTGCGCAGAGCGATGGATGCTCGCTCTGCTCCCAGCTAGAGCAAAACCAGGGACTGAGAAACGATGCTCCCCTGTAGGGTTTGGTTAATTATTCTCCCAGAGGAAAGAAACTGGGGGAAACACCAGGCATGTATCTGTCAGGGGGAGCAAGCAGGCATGTGGCTGTTACTTTAATTGCCTCCAAGCAGAGACCCCTGCTCGGCTGCGCCGTTCGAGTTGCCATTCCCACTGTGGCACAGAAGCACCTGCTCAAAATGGGGCTGTGCAGTGCTGGGTGGGCTCTGCACAGCCCCCGGTCTGTAGGGAGGGAATGTAGAATAAGAGAAGAGAAAACATGGAGAGAAAGGGAAAAAATCCCCCCGAGCTGCTGTGCTCTGCCTGCATCCTTTAGTGACAATGCGGGGGCAAAGCTGCTAGAGCTTCCTAAAAACAGACAGTTCCTAAATAACGTGCTTTCAGAAAGGGAAGAAATGGGATTTGGGAATAACGTAGGAGAGATCGGGTGACAGGGAGGCGGGTGCTGTTGGGACTGAGGTTGTAAGTTAAGTTTGCAGGGACGTGCCGGCGTGATTTATTGCGGTACCGGCACTCCGTGGGACTTTCCCCAGCCCAGCACTGCACTGCACTGTGCCACTGAAAGCAGCCCCTGAAGGCTCTCCTGCATTCAGATCAATAGCAAAATAATAATAATAAGGCTGTGTTTATTTCAAATCTCAGTGCTCTTGTTTGCCTAAAAATAAGAGAAGAGAGAGCAGGAAGGAGAATTAGGAAATGCAGAAGCAGAATTCATGAGCAGAGAGGATTAGATGTGCCCCGTCCTGCTGGGGTCCAGACACAAGTGGAGGCACCACAGTGTTACAGCTTTTCCCAGCTAACTTGCATTGCCTTAACTGGCTGGCTGCACATGTAGTGGAAGAAATGCGTATATATTTTATTTCTTAGCAGATGGCATGAGGTCAGACTTGGTTTGGGGACAGCCAGAGAGTGCAGAAATGGCTTGGGAGGAAGAAGGGTTTGATTCAGGAAGAATGGTGGGATGCAGGTTGATGCAATGTGAACTGGTTGCAACTATGAACTGGGTGAACTGGAAGCCCCACATGAGATATCCTAGGATCATTAAGGTTGGAAAGGATCACTAAGGGCACCTCGTCCAGCCATGAAGTGGAAAGATAAAAGTATCAGAGGTTGATAGGTGAGATCTGGTGGAGCTCCCATCTCATCTGCTGCTCTCTGTACCACCTAAGTGAGGTGGGATGGCACTGGCCTCCTAATAAACTGGGTTAAGAGATGGGCAGTAACAGCTAGGAGCTGCGTGAAAGCAGCATCACTGAAGATGGACAAGAAAGATGTGTGTTCGGGATGTTTTCCTAACTTCCACCTCTTTTCCCATTGATTTTAGCTTCTTATTTCTCGTTGTCCAAGAGTGGTCAAAGCAGCACTGTTGGTTGAATCATCCATGTAGGATGAGACTGGCCAAAGCTGGTGATTTTCTATAGCAGCCATTTTGCAGCTCAGAAGGCTTTGAAAAAGTGATTCATTATGTTTTTCCATTCCTATTCCTTGTGCTTCAAGAAATATGGACTTATGGGAGCAGGGTGGGAGGGCAGCCTCACCGTTGGGAAGATATGCTGGAAGAATTATTCCAGCAGTATGCAGGTGCAACAGCTGAATGTGTCCCTGAGAGCTGAATGGCAACACTGCAGGAAGAGCAATGCATGGATGAAGTCCTAGTTTGTGCCGTGTTTCAGGTCTTCCCTGGCATTTCTCCACCTTAGGGTGAGGGAAACAGCCCCTCATTTGCACTGGGATGCAGTGAAAGCCAAGCTGAGTTCTGGATCCCATGAAAAACATAATTCCTTTTTTTTTTTTTCACGACAAATCCTAGAGAATGGAGCTGAGTCTTGGCAGGCTCCACATTTGAGAAACCAAAGCTTACGTTTGGCAGAGAGTGAGCACGTTAAGTGAGAAATGATCATTCCTCGTTAACGGGGAGGGAGGCAGAGCCATGGAAGGTCACCCAAGGGACAGCATGAGCCAAGCAGGTTGACATCAGAGCTCCTAAAGCAAGCTGTAGAGCTCAGAAACATGAATTGCATCTACCCCTTCTTCCTCTGATCCATTAACTCGAGCTGAGGATTTTGACATTTCCAAGGCAGTGGTATTCATCTTCAATTCCTCTGCTACTGCAGCAGGTTGCAGTGTGATGTTAAACAGCTGTCATGCTCCTCTGCAGGGGTGGTTGCATGTGGTGCAATTCCTCTACATGCTCTCCTCTCCCACCCTTGCCCCAAGGGTTGGGAATTGCCTTTATATATATGTAACACCTATGTTACAACAGTATCTTACATGGCCCCTTTCTGCCAGACAGTGCGTCATCACAGAATGATGCTTTAGCCTTTTCTCAGATACCAACTCTCCTATCATCTTGGATATTCCTAAGCACTGCAGGGGTGATTTGCACCCAAGCAGCAATGGGCATAGAGGGCACATGGGCTGAGGAGACCTTTCTGCATTAATATAAGTAGTAGGAAACTGCTCCTGCCTGGTTTGTGCTTGAGGTGTAGCGTGCAAAGGCATTGGACCAAAGCATTGGCTCAAGAAAAGAAAGCCTTTTCTAACAAAGAATAAAGAACTGTGAATTATTTTGCTCCCCAGCCCTTTTCAGGTAGTTCTACAGTCAAATCACATCTTTTACATACCTTTGAACACCTCTAAGACATCTCATCTGAAAACCATGGAGCACTTAGTAATACGACTTA